TCTTCAGGAAATTTTGGGTGTATTTTTTGAAGAAGAAATCTGAAGTATTCTCCAAATTCAAGTTGTGTAAAGTTGAGATGCAGAACCAAACTGATAAAAAAATCAGTATCTGAAGTCTGATAATGACACAGAGTACACAAATTTATAGTTTCAGAAATTTTGTCAGGAGCATGGGATTCAGAGGTTATTTTCAGTTCGCAAGACACCACAACAAAATGTTATTGTAGAAATGATGAACAGATGACTGAGAGAGTTGAAAGTTCAACATGGTGAATCCAATACTAATGACTTGCAGAATTACAATCTTGTCAGAGATAGACAAAGACGCATCAATATAAGTCCTCCAAGCATATTGAGTTATGAAGACTTGGTTTCTTGCGCACTTCTCATTAGCAGTGATGATTCATCCACCTTTCAAGGAGCTACCAGTTATGAAGACTTGGTCTCTTGCGCACTTCTCATTAGCAGTGATGATCCATCCACCTTTCAAGGAGCCATAAGGAGCTACCACCAGCAAGGGGAAAGAGAAATTTATGGGTGCAATAGTTGAGGAGATGGAGTCTTTACAGAAAAATCACACATGGGAGCTAGTTCAGTTTCCTGAGAGAAAGAAGGCTATTAGGTGCAAATGGATGTACAAAAGGAAAACAACAATTCAAAAAAAGAAGGGAAAAAGTTTAAGGCTCGTTTGGTAGGAAAGGGTTTTTTGCAACATAAGGGGATAAATTATGATGAAATATTTTCTCTTGTGATCAGACATAGTTCAATCAGGGCAGTGCTTGCATTAGTAGCTATTTAAGATTTGCATTTGAAGCAGATGAATGTTAAAACTTTTGCTTTCTTGCATAGTGATTTGGAGGAGTAGATTTACATGGAGCAACCAGAAAGGTTCACTCAACCTAGACAGGAGCATCTAGTTTGCAGATTAAAGAAATCGTTGCTTGAGTTGAAACAATATCCAAGACAATGGTACAAGTCGTTGGACTCCTGCATAATTTAGATTAGCTACAAGCGATGCGAGTATGATTGTTGTGTCGATGTTAAGAGCCTTGATGATGGCTATATTATTTTTCTGTTACTGTATGTTAACGATATATTAATTGCTGCAAAGAATATGCATGATGTCCTTAGTTTGAAAGCTTTACTGAGTAAGAAATTTGACATGAAAGACTTGGGTCCTACAAAGAAGATTTTTGGAGTGAAGATTCATTGAGATTGAGACTCAAGACGATTATGTTTATCTCAACGAGGCTATATTGAGCAAAGCAAAGCCTGTGAGCACTCCATTGACAAATAATTTTAAGCTTTTTTCAAAACATTGTCCTAAGACAAATAGAGAAATCAAAGACATGACAAAGGTTTCATATGTCGGTACAGTTAGTTGCTTGATGTATGCAAGATGTATGCAATGGTATGTCAATGGTATGTACTCACCCTGATTTGGCTCATGTTGTTAGTCAAGTTTGCAAATTTATGTCTAAACCTGGAAGACGACATTCGAAAGCAGTCAAGTGAATTTTCAGGTATTTGAAAGGTACTATAGAACATGAAATTATTTTTGGCAGTCAGCAGAATGATCCTTCAGTTGTGGGGTATGTGGATTCAGATTATGCAGGTGATTTGGATGATAGAAGGTCTATAAACAGGTATATGTTTTCTCTTGATGGAGGGCTGATATGTTGAAAATCAATAGTTCAATCTATTGTGGCATTATATACAACTGAAGCTGAGTACATGGCCGTAGCTGAAGCTCTTATAGAAGCTTTATGGCTCACTGGGCTAGTAAATGAATCGGGTGTTGAGCAAAGTAGAGTTCAGTTGCATTGTGATAGTCAAAGTGCCATTTATGTAGCCAAGAACCAGGTGTACCTTGCACGAACTAAGCACATTGATGTCAGGTATCAAAAGATCAGAGAATTAATTGCTTTTGGTGAGATATTATTACAGAAGGTTCATACTAATGGGAATGCAGCTGATATGTTGAGCAAACCAGTTACTAGCAACAAGTTCTGGCATTGCTTGAACTTATTGAATATTCAAAGTTGCTATACAAGCATGGTGGCCCAACCCACTTTGGTATTTGAGAAAATCTCAGGTATCTTTCTCCTAAATGGTTGAATATTCGCCAAGGTGGAGATTTGTTAGGTATGACTCATATACCAGATAAGGGACAGATGTTGGAGCGGAACAGAGCGAGCCAGCATGGCGGAGCAAGTGGAGTGGAGCGAAAGCATATGTCCAATTGAGGGGAGTTTTGTTATGTGGGCTGAGGGTGCAGGGGCAACGGTACAGTACAGGGGTAATTTTGTAATTACATATTGTATACCAGGGTTATATATTTATGTTGTATTGTAACCCTAAGGGGATTTTGTACTTTTTTCTGAATTGGAGGAAAAGCCGCAGCTCTGCTTCCGAGGACGTAGATATCTTTGCCGGACCTCGTTAAATTTATATATTTTTTTCTGGATTTGTGTCGATTCTTACATTTCTTTGCCTTAAAATTCTCAACACATGCAATAAAATAGAATTAAGCAGTTTGATGAACACAATCGAAAGTAGAAAATTCACACATAAAACAGCTAAAGAAATTTATCTCAAAGAATTGACAAGAAATTTATAAAGAAAGAACAACTGATGGGCACCAACAGAAATAAAAAGAGAATTAGGAGGGAGAAATTGGACGCTAAAAAGCTTGGTTTAGGATGATGCAAGACATACGAGCAAATAGAACACATTATCAGTCAACAGTAATGCTATTATGAAAAAGACTTTTACAAACCTGCTCAAAAATTAAATTTCCCACAAAAATTAAAATAGATTGTTGGAAAAAGCAAAGAAAATACATTAGATCTTACATTCACAATATAGTAAAACACCAAACAAATAAAAAATTTATGCGGTACTGAAGAAATGAAAAAAAAAAAACAATATCTAGAATAAGAAATCGATAGAAAATCAATCGATAACAATTATAATTGTAAAAGTAAACAATGCTTTTACTTGACACAAATAGTAGCATAATTTCTTTGTTGTTCCAGTCATAGAGCCTAGATAGAAACATTGTTGGAATGAAAGTGAAGTGAATCGACATTTTTTAGGGCGCTTATTATAACCGGACTCTGCATGCAGAGTTGCAAGCGGAGACCAATCCACGTTCTCTGCGTGGAATCTTGGGGGGGGGGCATCAGATACAGAATAATTGGAGTATGCAACCCGACCCGACAAAAACCTGAGCCCATCCCAAAAAGCAAAAAAGTGACTTTATGTCCGATGCTAATTATGCCAAAAGTCTTTCGTCGCATATTTATGATGAAGTGAGTCCAGAAAAGCGGATTTTGTCGCTTTATGTTTCTTTGCTCTGGGTTCCGAGTTGCTGCGATCGATTTCTCTGTAGAAGAAGAAATATTGGTTATGGAATCTGGAAATAATGGTAGCCAGCTTCAATCAGAAGTGAGTTAACTTTAGTTTTATTTTGATTTGAGATTTGCATTGCTATGTTATGTTGGTTTAGCTGATTTTTTTTACCTGTTGTTAGTGTTTAAGGCTTAGTATTATTATGGTTTAGGGTTGATAGACTGTATTTTCCTAGTTGTGTTATTATTTTATGATTGTCCTATTAATGTTGTATTGTTGTCGTATTATCGTCGCTGATTGTGGTGTTATGTGATGTTATTGTTTAGTTTTTCTAGTGTTATTATGATATTGTTATTATGGTTTAGTGTCTAGGGATTGTATTGCTTTAGTGGTGTGATTGTTTAGTAATTTGTATTGTTTTAATATTCTTATAATTGTATTATGGTTGTATTACTAAAGTGTTATTCTCGTCTTATTATGGTGTTATGTGATGTTATTATTTAGTTTTTCTAGTGTTATTGTGGCATTATTGTTATGGTTTAGTGTCTAGGGATTGTATTGCTTTAGTGGTGTGATTGTTTAGTAATTTGTATTGTTTTAATATTCTTATAATTGTATTATGGTTGTATTACTAAAGTGTTATTCTCGTCTTATTATTTCTCGTCTTATTGAAGTGTTATATGATGTTATTGTTTAATTTTCTAGTGGTATTATGGTATTATTGTTATGGTTTAGTGTCTAGGGATTGTGTTGTTCTAGTGATATGATTTTTTAGTAATTTGTATTGTTTTAGTAGTCTTATAATTGTATTATGGTTGTATTAATAATGTGTTATTCTCTTCTTATTGTGGTGTTATGTGATGTTATTGTTTAATTTTTCTATTGTTATTGTGGTATTATTGTTATGGTTTAATGTCTAGGGATTGTATTGTTCTAGTGGTGTGATTGTTTAGTAATTTGTATTGCTTTAGTAGTCTTATAATTGGATTATAGTTGTATAACTAGCATTTTATTCTCGTCTTATTGTGGTGTTATGTGATGTTATTGTTTAGTTTTTCTAGTGTTATTGTGGTATTATTGTTATGGTTTAGTGTCTAGAGATTGTATTGTTCTAGTGGTGTGATTGTTTAGTAATTTGTATTGTTTTAGTGGTCTTATAATTTTATTATTGTTGTATTACTAAGGTGTTATTCTCATCTTATTATGGTGTTATGTGATGCTTTTTTTAGTTTTTATAGTGTTATTGTGGTATTATTGTTATGATTTAGTGTCTAGGGATTGTATTGTTATAGTGGTGTGATTGTTCATAAATTTTTATTGTCTTAGTAGTGTTATAATTGTATTAATGATTTGTCATTGTTGTATGATTTTTGTGTTATTGTTGTATTATTCAAAGCTTTTATCTGAATAATGGGTGACAAGCATCCAACGAAGGAATCAATGATCTCATCAGACAAAAAATCCACTCCAGAGAGGACCTTTTGCCAATGGTGGTTCACACCCATGAAGGGAGAGCATAAATTGTACTTATTTAATCTAAAGCTTGTATCAAATATTATTACATCCCCAAAGCAATCATAATCAAGTCTGGATAACCCTTCGCTCCAAAAAAAGCTTGTGAGCTTTCAACACTCATCAGTTTCAACTCAGGCAAACATGGTATCCTTAGCTTGCCTCTTCATGAACAACTGTATTAGAGAATTCACGTCTCCTTGTTCTATTCTTTCCCTTCTCTCTCTTTGAATAAAATTGTATGAATCACCTTTCATGCATTCAAGATTCTCCACCCCAACCTCTGTAGCCATAAAGTTATATGCATCTGTTGCTCTGATCCCGGATCTAGTCATTGATCTCAACAAATTTGCATTTAACTCACTTATCTTTCTGCTGGAACACATAAGATGCTTTTCACCACTTTTGGCAAGAGGATGATTATGAATTCCAATGAATTTCTTCACTTTCCAAATACCTTCAACATCAATGGCATTTCTAACCATGATTTGACATCTAGTCCTCATGTCAGCTTTTCTGAACTTCACGGTGTCTGTCGGGTTTGACTCCTTCTTGTGGCCATCCTTTCCGCAAATAAAATCATTATTTTTAATATTCTTAGAATTTGGCCAATAGCTGCTATGGTCCTCCATAACTGAAAATCCTATATGATGAGCATAGACACAATAGCTTTCATATGTTTCTTGTTCATTGTGGACAACGGTGCGAAGAAACGTCTTTACGACTGGATCATTGCACATATTTCCACACTGTACATTACCACAACAATTTAACGATGGTCAGATAGTTATAACACAACAATCATACAATAATAACACGTCAATAATACAATTTTAACACAACTAAAGTAATACAAATTTATGAATAATCACACCACTAGAACAATAAAATCTTTAGACACTAAACCATAACAATAATATCACAAAAACACTAGAAAAATTAAACATTAACATCACATACCTCAATAAGACGAGAATAACACATTAGTTATACAACCATAATACAATTATAAGACTACTAAAACAATACAAATTACTAAACAATCACACAACTAGAACAATACAACCCTATAAACTAAACCATAACAATAATAGCACAATAACACTAGAAAAACTAAACAATAACATCACATAATACCACAATAAGACGATAATAACACGTTAGTTATACAAAAATAATACAATTATAAGACTACTAAAAATAATACAAATTACTAAACAATCACTCCACTAGAACAATACAATCCCTAGACACTAAACAATAATAATAATACCACAATAACACTAGAATAACTAAAAAATAACATCACATAACACCATAATAAGATGAGAATAACACCTTAGTAATACAACCATAATAAAATTATAAGACCACCAAAACAATACAAATTACTAAACAATCACACCACCAGAACAATACAATCTCTAGACACTAAACCATAATAATAATACCACAATAACACTAGTAAAACTAAACAATAACATCACATAACATCGCAATAAGACGAGAATAACACGTTAGTAATACAACCATAATATAATTATAAGACTACTAAAACAATACAAATTAATGAACAATCACACCACTAGAACAATACAATCCCTAGACACTAAATAATAATAATAATACCACAATAACACTAGAAAAACTAAAAAATAACATCACATAACACCACAAACAACGACAATAATACGACAATAATACAACATTAATAGGACAAAAACAAAACAATAACACAACTAGGAGAATACAATCCATCAACCCTAAACCATAACAATACTAAGCCATAAACACAAACAACAGGTAAGGAAAATCAGTTAAACCAATATAACACATCAATGCAAAACTCAAATCAAAATAAAACTAAAGTAAACTCGCTTCCGATTAATGCTAGCTGCCATTATTTCCCAATTACATGACCCATATTTCTTCGTCTACAGAGAAATCGATCGCACCAACTCATAACCCATAGCAAAGAAACCTAAAGTGAAAAAAATCTGCTTTTCTGGACTGGTGACAACACAAATATGCGACAAAAGACTTTTGGCGGGATTAGCATCGGACATAAAGTCTCTTTTTTTCTTTTTGGGCTGGACTAGGTTTTCTGTCAGGCCGGGTCATGTACTCCAATTATTCTATTTTTGATGCCCCCCCACCCGATTCTACGTGGTGAACGTGGATCGGACTCCACTCGCAGCTCCGTGTGCGGAGTCCAGATGTAATAAGCGCTCCTATAAGGTAGCCCCGGGTTGCCAAAATGATGCATAAATGCATAAGAACTAAGTGCAACGTATGTAATAAGATTTATATGCAAAAATCGTATATATATTAGTAACTTGCCACATTTCTCATGCAACGTAAATGTAACGTGTAAATTTATCACATAAGATTTTGGCATTCATATGTAAACTTATCACAATTCTTTTATATTTATTGATGGTGAAAGTGATTAAGAATTATGTAGCATGTCATAAGTTTCCAAATTTTTTAATAAAAAGTTTAGTGTTGTTTCATGAGAAATGCGAGAAGGTGCATTTTTTTTTTTTTTGAAAACTATGAATTTTCTTAATGGCAATACTTTTTCTTTTGTCTTTAACATCATAATCTAGTTTGAGAATATAAATAAACAAGAAGAAGAAGGTAGAAGTGGATTCTTTAATCCTGCCTGACAAGCGATCAAAGATTTTCCAAAAGAAGAAAGTTATCCACGATATGTGTAGCAGGGTTCAATGTGATCTTCTTTTCGTATTACGGTGCAGGAGAAATTTGTCCCTGTTCTGCATAGCAGACGATCGAAGAAATCTTTTTTCATGTTGCGGTGCAGGATAAAGTCATCCCTATTCTGCATACCAGATGATCAACAAATCTTCTTTTGTGTTGCGGTGCTAGAGAAAATCATCCCAAAAGTTATCCCGACACCGCCTAGCAGGACCTATGGGATTTTCTTTCAAGTTCTTCTCTCAAGGAGAAGCGAAAGAAAGCCATCCTGAAAGTTATCCCGGACCTTGTCAAGCATGACCTCAGGGATTTTCTTTCGTGGTCATCTCTCGTGAAGAGAAAACCATCCCAAAAGTTATCCCTGACCCTACTCAGGAGGACCTTCGGGATTTTTTTTTTGCGGTCTTCTCTCGTGGAGAAGTGAGAGAAAACCATCCTGAAGTTATCTTCTGCTATATTTTCTTTCGCGTTACTGAGATGAAGAAAGTTATCCCCGTCCCTACCAAGCAGGTGATTTGGGATCTTCTTTTTTACGCTGCCGATGTGATTTCTAGAGGAGGTCCGACACCTAAACCTCTAGAAATTATTGGAAATACCATAATTTGAGGAGGTGATGTCGATATCATTTGAATATATACTGACTTGTTGTCTTTCTATAGTACATGTTGATCTTTTTAGCATTTCAATTGTCTGCTATGACATTTGTATAAAGTAAAAAAATGTGTTTTTTTGTACATAATTAACTTGCTTGATGCAAAACAAATTTTGAGGTTGCTTTTGCCTCACTTCTTAGGGTGGTGTTACCCAACTTTTGGGATGTCGTTGTCTTACTTCTATGGCATTGTTGATGTCAACATCTTTTGAGGCTGATGTCTTCTTAGGTTATGTGGCTTTTAATCATGCAGAAGTTTGCAATCAAAATTAGCACTTGTGTTTTATATAAGCAAAGGATCATGTACCTTTTGAGACTCATGCCTTCTAAGGTTGTACCCTCTTAGGTCTGTATCTTGTGATGCTTTTGCTTTCTTAAGCTTAGCCTTATAGAAGCTTGAAATGAACTAATGCCTTCTGAGGCTCGTAAGCTTCCAAAGTTTTTGATGTACATATGGCTTATGAGGCTTTTAGCCTTCTGAGGTGTTTGATATACCTTTACCTTCTAAGGCTTGTAGCATTCTGAGGTCTTTGATGTAACTGTGTCTTTTGAGGTTTGTAGCCTTTTGAGGTCTTTGAGTGGAGACCTTGTCAACCACTTGCTCTCTTAGAGTCTTTTTTATTGAGGAGCAAGTCCACTACTAGCTTCCCATCGAGACTTCGTCTTCTAGGGGCATGATTGTTTTCCATCCTGTCTTCCCTCCTAGGCTAGACTTCTAGAAGTATTGTATCTTACCATCAAGTTTTGCCTCTTGGGCTCAAATTTCAGGGGCATGATAGTTTTCCATCGAGTCTTGCCTCTTAACATCGACTTATAGAAGCATTATATCTTCTCACTGAGTCTTGCTTCTTGGGCACAACTTCCTGGGGCATGGTAGCTTCCCATTGAGTCTTGCCTCTTAGGCTCGACTTACAGGGGTACTGTATCTTCCCATTGAGTCTTTCCTCTTGAGCTCGACTTTCATGGGCATGATTGGAGACCTTGTTTGCAACTACCAATTTTTTACTATTCCTAGGCTATTAGTCGAAGAGTTTCTGTCTGATGACTATTGCCTGTGCTGGAGCATAGTGGAAAGATAAATTTATTAAGGATGTAAGGCCTGTTCTGAGTGGTATAGCCAGAATGCTCGACGGTATTAAACCTTAACCGACAAAGTCATATTAATTCCATTGAGGATGGTTGGCCTATCCCAAGTTGCTGGTCGAAGCTTTTGCTTAATGACAGTAACTTGTTATGGAAGAGGTAGAAGGAAATTCACCAGGGATTTTTGACCTATCTAAGGTTGTAAGTCAAAATTTCTTCTTGATAACTATAGCCTGTGATGGTAGAGGTTAAATTGAGTCCCTCAGATATTGATTAAGCCCAAAATGAGGTATTAGAGATGCTCTATGGTTCTCGAGATTGGGGCGTAGGTTGCAATGGACCATATATTTTCCTAGAAATATTTTGCTATTATACTAAAAAATATTGTTTGACAACTCGTTAGTTGCGGCTTTTGAATCTTTTGCCTCCCAATAAGAGTGTTTTCCCACAAACTTATAAAGCAACATGTATTGAGCCTTAAAGAGACCAGCTAATTGATTTGGTTAAAGATGAACTCCAGTACGGTGAAGGGGTGCTGAGGAAGTGCTATTTGCGGTGAAGATTGCCCTCAGTCTAGGAGCGGTTTTCAAAGACTTATTGTTTGAACAAAATGTGGGATGACTACTCTACCACAATTGTGCCCAGAACGCGAATGTGAATGGTCTTTCGAGGCTGTAGTGAAGGTTTCCCCCTAGTGTGGAAGAAGCTGTGAAAGTCGTTGTGTTTGAATAAGATGCAAGAAGACAACACCACTATAAACATGCATGGGAAGTTGACATGAAAGAATTTTCAAGACTGCAGTGAAGGTTGCCCCTCCACATCAAAGAATGCTCCAAAGATAATCTTCAAGATACAAAGGATGTTCCTTCGCCAATTGGATGACGTACATAATTGGGAAACAAAGTAGAGGCTCGGCGTCTTAGATTTGAAGATAGTGTTAAATGGGACTTCGCTTCCAACAGAGGGTACCAAACTGATCTATGCTAGAAGATTCACGGTGGTAGAGTTATGGATTATAATTTAAACGTTGCATGAGAATTCAACATGCTCAAATGAAAGAAACAAAACTACAAGAGCTGCCATAAGTTCTTACATGAAAAATCTAAAAGGAAAAAACCACGGAGTCTGACTCTACTTAAGAGATTCACTATAAACTTGATATTACAAGTACGATCCCTTGTCCCACACGTGAGAACGAGTTACATAATATTCTGATCTATAAAGCGCAAATGAACTCGTTGTATAAAGTGAGCGGCAACTGATGTTTATCGGCAATGATGACTAGTG